CAGAATATCATCCCGATCAATTTAAAGCCACAACATAACATCAACAACCATTTACAACATTATGGAATTAATGGACATGGTGTTGAGTAACCACTATATTAAAAAACTACAAGTTCTTAACCACATTCTGTGACTACTTTATTGACATTTCAGTTTTAGTATATTAACTACCGGCTTCTATCCACCTTAAAATAGCTATAGGGTACTATTCAGCTGTCTCATTTCTATTTCCATTTTAGTATTTAGCAGTTTATACTGTGGAAGCCTAATTCTACTGAACTTGGCAGATTTTAGGATAGTCTAAACTGGGTTATATCTCTCACAAGGCATATGTCAACAATTGAGGTATAGAACAGTTTTAGGAGGGGTGTGCAGAGAAATCTTCAATACCTTAGTGAGGAGTAACTAGTCTTTGTGTCCTAACTAGTAAGGTATGTGTGAGTCCATGCTGACCATTTCCTGTTTGGTTATAAGCTTTCCTTGTTGCTATCCGTCTATCTATTCTTGTGTGTGTGTGTGTGTGTGTGTGTGTGTGTGTGTGTGTGTGTGTGTGTGTGTTTTGGGTGGGGTGCTCCGGAGTGACCCTGATGGTCTGTGCAAGAGAGGGTGAGGATCCAAAGTTGGAACTAAGTAAGGACAAGAGAAAGCTCCTCTCCCTAGTCCCAAAGGAAGTTAACTGTTCTGTTCATGCGGACCACTCAGAGTTCCTGGCTGTTGTTCTGATGACCTTGGATCTTGCAAGGAAGGATTTGGGCTTCTTCCATCCCATGTGGTAGATCCAAAAGAGGGTGGATGTCTCAGAGTTTTCAGCCTCCAAAGGCACTCCAATTCCCTGTGGTCTCCTTGGCAGTTGGGATATAGTCCTTGGTGCCTGTACTGCTAATCCTTGGTGAGGATCCGGGAGTCTCCAGTGTTGGGATACTAGCCTCCTCCTGTCCCCCTGCTCCAATCTGGGGTTCCCCCCTGCTCTGTGCATATGACCTCCTTTTAAGAGGTTGTTAGGATTGCTCTTGATTCTCCCTTATGTCTTTGTAGTTTTCCTATTGTCTAATGCTGATTTGAATCTGTTGTCTATAAGTTACCTGTTATGATCTTGATAGGTTATACTTCACGTCTTCCTCACACATTCTAAGGAGAAGGAAGATTTCTCTGCTCTCCCGCCCCATTTCTGAGTAGCACAGGGTCTTAAAAGTATATTAAGTTTTACAATTTTTTGATGTAGATCATAAGCAGTCTGACTCACATTGATTGTTGATTCATTGGTTACATCACAATATCTTATTGCATGAGATACAGGCTGTTTGGGGTTGAAATAATATTACAGTTTACAGGTACTGTTTTTCGGATTGACATCATTTCAGGTTAAATTAAGGCAAACATGTTATCTAACCTTTTTTGCTCATTTCTCTTAGCCATAATGGTTTCAAGTTGGGCCCATTTGGCTACAAAAGGCTGCATTTCATTTTTTGTCTGTTTGTTGTTTCTTTAATAGCTGAGTAGTATTCCATGGAGTAATTGAACCATAGCTTTCTTATCCAGTCAAAACACAAATTCAGGGCCCGGCGGGATAGCATAGTGGTTGAAGTCTTGGTCTCACACAAGCCAGGATCCCATATGGGTGCCGGTTCTAATCCCAGCCACCCCGCTTCCCATCCTGCTCCCTGCTTGTGTCCTGGGAAAGCAGCAGAGGATGGCCCAGAGCCTTTTGACCCTGCACCCATGTGGGAGACCTGGAGGAGCTCCTGGCTCCTGGCATCAGATTGGTTCAGTTCCAGTCATTGTGGCTGCTTGGGGAGTGAACCATCAGACGGGAGATCTTCCTCTCTATCTGCTCCTCTGTATATCACCTTTCCAATAAAAATAAATAAACTTTAAACACACACACACACAAAGTCAAACAAGAAGAATGAATTGCATTGTGAAGGCTGAATCCTAATTTAGACTTGAACCTGGACCTATACATTTTCAGTAAGCTCAAAATCAGTCAATTAATGTAACAACTATAAGAAAAAATCCATAAGAGTAGTCCTGGACTCAGTCGTTTCATCTAGGGATTTTCAAAGATTTGTCTGAAGCTAGCACTGAGCACAGCAAATTAAACCACAACTTGTAACACCAGCATGGAATACGAGTGTAAGTTTTCGTCCTGGTGGTTCCTGTTTGCTAACATAGCTATGCTTGCTACAGAAGATGCTCTCAGTGCATGCCACTCTATTATGCATGAGAGTAACCTGGTTAGAGTTCTATGTTTTTCGACCTTCACCTTGAAGCAACACTGGTTACCATGGTCTTATGGTATCAAAAGAGTAGAAGGAATTTCTGACCTTTGACATGCTTTTTATTAAATGGAAACATTTAAATTGCATGATGTGCTTTATTTGCTTGAAGACAATTGGAAAGATCTATCACACACTCAGCACTCCCCGGATAACCACAATGCCTGGTTGTGGACAGGCCAGCACAGAAGGAGGGGACCAGTCTGGGTGGCCCACACAGGTGGCTACGGGAGCCATCATCTGCTACTTCCCATGTTGGCAGCAGCAGAAATTTGAAGTGGAAATAAAGCTAACACGTGATTCCAGGCACTTTGATCTTGGATGCAGGTGTCCTGGGACGCATCTTAACCATTATGGCAAATTGGCAAATTCCTTCATTCTCTCTTTCTGAAAAAAAAACATATTTCTAATTCTGAAAAAATATATAGGATATGTTATAACCTTAAAGAATGGTAAAGTGACAGAGGAAAGTGACATTTTTTTGAGAAATACTTTCTGTGACACATTGAATGTCAATGAAGTTTGAGGAAAGAATTGTGACTCTATATTCAGCTAAAGCATATAAACTAATAAAAATGGAGAAAGAGAAGATGGTTCCATCAGTGGTGATTTCAGAAAGGGTGCAGGAAGCATTCTGCATCATCCAAGCTTGACCAAATGAAGAGCAGGGCCCTTTAAGAGGCCATGACACTCTCCACATTCCAAAACTGCTGTGGCAACTCCACATTGTGACCTGCTACTGGACCCTCCCTCCCACCCTCAGAAACATCACTACAGGCAGTGGCATTAGCTTAGGGCTCTGGCAACTTCATCCTTTTTTGTGTGATTAAGAACTCTCCTTTATTGAAGGGCACAAAGTGATTCTCTACAGTAAGTTAAGGGTGACAGCTATTGTCATCCATGACTCCTTCTTAATTAAGCTCTTTGACTTTGTTTGTTTGAAACATCATGTGCTGTTTTCTCTAAACCTAGATCCTGGATTAATGACTGCCAGAACCATCAGCATGGCAGCATGTTCCAGTGCTCCAACAGCTCCAGGGATAGAAATGAACCTCCTAGAACACCAGATCTTGTCCTGCTAGCTTGCCAACACTCAACAGGAGCTTGACGATCTCAAGGAGAAGCTTCTTCCATCTGAGCCTACTGCCTACACCCTGGACAAGCAGCTACCAAAACACTGAAAGTTCTGGAGGTGATGGGTGATTGTCTTTCTTCTGAGAAATGAGATGAGGTGTAGGTTAGAGCTTGGGTTAAAATCCCTGCTACTGAATCCTAGTACAGACACAAAGGAGCTTGTTTATCGGAGGAACAGGTGGAATGCTCTTGTGTTGGGATCCTCTGTGTACTGCAGGAGATTGTGTAGACATGTAATATCATGGTGGTCTTCATGGCAGTCTGTTCAATATTGGAAGAACAAATGGCACAACACTGAGCTTGTGACACTAGTCAAAACTTGGGTAAACAGCACATGATTTCAGTTTGAAAATAAAATGAAAGTTTGATCTTCTCTGACACACAGAGGTAAAAACATTGATGATGTGCAAACAGCATGGTTGGGGAAGTCCTCCTCCTGGAGCCCAGGTTTGTCTTCGGATCCCTTCAATGTCAGTGCAGCCCTTGTTTGAGGGTGTGCTTCTGGGACTTAACACACTCTCTCAACATCCTCTGTTTCTACATTAGTGAAGACACTTTGGGGATGCAGGATGGAGAGCATGTCAGGGTCCACCTTGATTCCCAGGAACACAAGGGCATGCACAACAGGTGGATAGTAGCATCTGTCTAATTACGAGTCAGCCAGAGTCATTCCTACAGTTTTCTTACAAGAAGAACTCTTGAGGGAATATATTCATTACTAGGTTTGAATCAGAATATGGAAAAAGTAAATGAAGAAATGTATTCTGAGTAGAGATAAGCTCTGTTTGACTAATAATCTATTTTCAAAATCTCACATGTGAATGGTTTTGGAGGTGAAGAAAATGCAGGTAACAATGGGATTCTTTTCTATGCTAACACTGTGCAGAGAGCAGGAGTGCTGGCTGGTCTCCTGCTCTCTGGCCAGGTTTCCATCTCCTCTGTGCCTCAGTGTGTTCCTGTCTCTATATCTTATAGAGCAGCACCCACCTCTCTGAGCCAGAGTGAATTCATGATGTCATACAGAATTAATGGGGCACTTCCTGTGGATAGCGTTGAATAGTGTCTGACACATGTTGGATTTTGATAGGAAATCAATCAATGTATTGTTTCTTTCAGATATGTGTGGTCTAAAGACATAATATATTTGTGTATACACATGGGTTTTGCTTTGTCTTTGATATTTTGGTGTATGTATTTTGCAATGTTTGCACACAGGCCCTTCACCGGTATCATCCTCTGGTGTTTGCCAGGAGCCTCATGCCCAAGCTCAGCGTTTGAATTGCAATGTGTTAAGCTGGTGAAGAGGCCCAAGTCTCACATTCTCACTGTAGGGGTTAGGGTTGGCTCTGACAAACACCCTTTGTGTCATGCTAGGTAGTTTCTTCCTGGACTTTAAGCTTCCATTTGCTCATCTTCTCCAGGTGATCTACTAATTCTATATACTTGGGTCAGTGAGAAACAGACATGGAAGTTTGTTAGCAGTGTATGTCCAAGCTAGGATGGACCCTGGTTCCATGGCCAGGACCTCAGCAGCATGTGCAACACTCATTGAGTCAGGTGGGTCTGTGTTTTCTCAGAATGTGAGCTGTGCAAAGTCATCATGCAGCCTGTGCTGGGGCAGAACATCCAGTGTGAGGAGGAGCAGCTGGCAGAGAGCCCACCTGTCACCAAGAGGCTGAGGTAAGGACAGGCAGCAGGTTCAAGCTGAGGAATCTCTGGGGTGGGCAGTGTAGCCAATGGAGCTGACAGAGCTACACTCTCTCCCAAAGTGACTTTTTCCCAATTGCTGTAGTTTTCCGGTTCTGTTAGGGCCATATGGAGTGTGAACAGAGGGGAGATCACTATGTACAACCCCCTTCTTTTTCCCAGGAGAAAGAAATTTCTGCACATTCTTTTGAAGGCCTAACAGCCAGTCCTCCACTGACTTCCAACTGTGAATCTTCCCTTCTATTCCACATTAGGGAATTCAATATCTCACTCCATCCTCACACAAGACAACTGAGACAACTAAAGCAGAAGCCACAGGAACAGAGAGATGCCTCCATCTTACTCCATCAGCATCTCAAAGATCTGCTCACAGTGGACAGCCCTGAGAGCTGCCTGAACCAGGGCCTCTGGGATCCACTTTCTCAGGGACATCATCTGGCAGAGCACCGTGCCCACAAGCTCAGCCAAGGTACTGTCCGAGGAAAGGAGGGAAGACCTGCTAGGACAGAGGCTGGGGAACTCCACCCTCTCCTTCCTGCCTGAGGGGAGGATAGCATTGGAAAGTCTGCAGTGTCCTCAGAGGAGGCTGTGACAGGAGGAGCTTCCTCGCAGGGAAGGGACCTGGGCTAACCAGGAGGGCTCCCAGGTCTGTGCTCACACTGACTTCAGAGAAGGCATTCAGTGACTTCCTCTGCCTGCATTTCTGGTCTGTCAT